GTCGGCCTGGTGCGCAGTGCCCTCGACCTGCGCCTGGCCAACCCACCTGCGTCGTCCAGGAGGCTGGCGGAGGAAGCAGCCAGCAGGCTCTGGGCAGAGGGCACCCCGTATGCCGCCACCGTGTCTGGCAAGGGTCGAAGGTTTTTCCGGCGCGTATCGGGCTTCTTCGTCGGTTCTCGGCAGTCTTCCAGCCTCGGTACGCTTTCCAGCAGCTGCGCCTTGCCGAGAATGTGTTCCGCGGGGGCCTGGATCTTCTTGAGCGGCGGCCAGAGAGCCGAGTTCTGACCCGAGAACCAGTCGGATCAGCAGGGCCGTTACGGGCCCCGTGATGGTGTGTGGACCCAAACCCTCCTCCGCGTTGTGACAAGATAATGGCTGTCGCTTTTTCCGGCCTCTGGGGACCCTCGCCAGGCCCTGGTGCCATCAAAGAACGGCTCGGGATGAGGAGCTGGTTCTGAGGGGTGGGGGGTGGGTCGAGACCTCTGGGGGCCGACGTTGTGAAACATCGTAACATCGGGGACCTGGGGATCCTCCCGGCCTTCGCCAGGAGGGCGTGTATCCTGGTCGCCCAGAGGAGGTCCGAGCAGCTGGGGCCAGAAGGTCACGCCGAGTCGGAGCTCGGCTTTCCCCGCTCCGACGTCGCAGGCGTATTGGCGACGCATCGACGATGCAGCGCGATCCTCCCACCGAGCTGTTCGCACCCCTTTTGGGCGGCCTACAGTGTACGGCGGGTTCGCTCCGCGCTGACGCGGCGGCGACCCGGGCGCCGAAGGTCGAGGTCAAGCGCCGCTGGTGACTCCAGAATCGGCAGACTACCGTCGAGGCGCGATTGCTCAAGGTCAACCCGCCCACGCGGTGGCAGGAACCAGCGCACAGGCACTGACGACAGGAACCAGCCTTACAGCTGGCACAAGGGCGATGAAGAGTCCTGGCTTTGGAGGGGTACCCTCATGCTCTTCGTGCTTGAGCTCTCCGCCTTGGAGCGCTCTTCGTTTCGGGTATCTCTGTTGGGGGCCTTCGGCCAAGCTGGTTAGGTTCTTGACCCACGCCCTTGTGGGCATGCTTTTCGACTGCACACTGTGCAGATGGCCCAGGATGGCCCTGGACCGCGCGCGGCGGCGCCGTGCCTGGGGCCCTGGCATCGTCGCTCAGATTTTTCAATCCGCGGCCATCTTCCCCAGGGGTAGTGTTTCGCCCCAGGCCCATTTTTGGTGGTCTTGGGGCCTGAAGCGGCCCCCGAGAGTCGGACATTGGGAAAAACAGCCGGTTGAGAAAATCATGTCGTCAGATGTCTGGGTTTGCGCACAGGCTTTGGGGGCTGCCAAGCGGGGGGTGATGACTAGGGGGTGGACGGGGGTGGATATCACGGCCAGGGCCATGGTATCTCCACAGATTTCATGGCCCTCTTCTTCTTACTTCAATGCGTCCCCTGGTCCCCCCGTGCGCCGCGCACGTGCCGCGGACCATGACTTGCGCCCCCATCCCTTGGGTACCCCCTGGGCCGCGGACGTGCCTCGGACCAGCGCCTCCCCCCTCTTGGACCCCCCCTCTCGGACGTCCCCGAAGGCTCAGCGCCGCGGTCGTCGACTTCCGATCCGAGCTGGGCGTGGCGGCCGCGGCGGCGCCGCCCGCTCCGGCCCGGGGCGCCGGGCTCGGGCTCTGGTGCTGCGCGGCCAGCGCGACCAGCGGGGCGGTCGGCTCCACGTAAATCGAGGAAACGCAAGACTCGAGTACGCCGGAACCCGGGTTCGCCTACGCTTTTTGATGAGCCCGCCTTGGATTTTGACGGTCCAGTTTTCGTGGGATCTCTGCAGCGGAAGCTTTCGTCAAATTTCAGACTGTCTCGTCGTTTTCCTGACGGCCCCGTCAGGCCAACCCGAGTTCACCGTACCCGAGTCTTACGTCACCCCGAGTAAAAGAGCGGGCCTCGGCCAGAGTGGCCCTTGGTGCGCGGCTTTCGGAGGTTATGCCAGCCTGAGGCGTACCTGTCCCCTTGATTGGCATCACCTTGTCCCGATGTTGACCCTGAAGGTTCTCCCAGTTTCTGAGGGCGGATCCCTGAGACTGTCGTCGCCTTTGGGCTTGTCAATCTTAGGGGTAGGGATAAGCTCGCGGCTGGTTAGAGGGACGCCGCGGGGCCGAGCCCAAGTGCGCAGGCCGCTCGCTGCCACATCGCGTGCAGCAGCCGGCAGGCTTCGCCCCAAAGGTCACTTGATGGGCTTGTTTTCCACCACCACCACCGTAAATTGGAGGGGGAGGGGGTCCTCCTTCTCCTCCGCCTCTACCGCCACCTCCTCCTCCTCCTCCTTCGCTCCGTCCTCCTCCTCGTCCTCCTCCTTCCCCCGTCCAACTTACGGTGGTGGTGGTGGAAAGCATGCCCATCATCACTCTTGTCTTGCGTGCACCCGAGGCGGGCACGTACGTGGTGGAGCGGGGCGCGAGGCTGCCATACTTTGGACCCGGCCAAGGGGAGCTGAGGTGGCCCAGCACTGGTCTTCGGCGTCTGGGGGCCGTCTTCGGGCCATCGATCCGGAGTGGCAATTGTTTGTCTGGATGGGCTCCAGGAGAGGTCCAGGGACCGATTTTTAGCGGATTTGCCCTCGTCCCCCCCCCCTCTTGATGATCGGCTTGTTTTCCACCACCACCACCACAAGTTGGAGGGGGAGGAGGAGGAGGAGGACGACGAAGAGGAGGAGGAGAAGGAGGAGGAGGAGGAGGACGAGGAGGAGGAGGACCCCCTCTCTCTCCAACTGATAGTGGTGGTGGTGGAAATCAGGCCCACCACTTGACCGGTTTTCTCAGGGCCCACCCAGCGAAGACCCTCTGGTCGCCTCCAAGCCGTACTCCACTACCAGAGCACGTTCATATCCACTGTTTCCTACGAGGAAAACTCTGGAGGCCTCGCGCGGCGCGAAATGGAGGGACTACCTAGTCCACGTGCCTTGTGTTGACGTTCGTGCGGCGGTGTTTCGACTTAAATCCGACGTCAAACCGACGTGATTCCGACGTGAATCCAGCGTGACTCCGACGCAAATCCGACGTGAATCTGACATGGATCCGACGCAAATTTGGTCTCAAGTTGCCGCGCGAGGCATCCAGGGTTTTCCTCATCACGTTTCCCGAAGGAGAAGAATTTGCACAAACGTGAACTTTCGGAACTCCACGCAGATTTCGTGGACTTGCGCTGCCCCCCCCCGGGGAGGGGAGACCTAGCGCCGAACCAAGAACTCCGCGTGGAGCTCCGAGAGTTTATGTTTATGCAGTTTTTTGCTTCTCGAACCGTTTAGGAGTTGGGCCCAGGGGTCCCGAGAGCTTCTCGAGCCGGGGCTCACGTGACGGGGATCAGCGCCAAAGCGGATCAGCCAATCATTCTGTTTGACCTGGGTTTTGGAGCCACGTGGAACCGATCAACTCTTCCGCCAGAAGAGCATTCCTCAAGAACACGAGAACCTCCGTCTGCCAAAACACAGAACATCCAAGGGGTACCCTCCACAGGATACACAAGGACATCCAACAAGCACGAAGAACACCAGGGTACCCTCCCCGACCCGACCTCGCTCTGATACCTCGGTCCGACTGTAACCTGGGTCTTGGAGCCACGTGGAGCCGATCACCCTTTTGCCCTCCGCTGACCCACGTTTGGGAACAACTGAATGGCCGGCCGGGGTTTGCCGAGTAGTCCGGGCTGACCCGAGTTAGCGCCATCCCAGGTCAGCGCGTCCCAGATCGAGGAGCGGTGGATAAGGATACCCCCCTCGCCTCTGAGGGCGGGGAAGCACGTCCACACCAACCGCTCCCCTCAGATCCGTGGCAAGGCCCCGTCAGTTGTGGATATGGCCATCTTCTGGCGGTGCACATGCAGCAAGGGCAGGAGGGCGGCTGGAGCACAACCCTTCGGAGGTCCGCGCGGGGTGTCTTCCGCCACCCCTGGCGGGCGCCTGCCTCGCCGCCCCCAGAGCGCGCCAGGAGAGGGGTGTGGGGAGCGGGCTCCGGCGCCGACCCGAGCAGTTGCGCTCAGGGCGCCAGAGGCGGGGGCACAGCAAGTTGGGGGGTACGGCGAACGCCGATTTCCACGTTTGGCTGTGCCCCCCGTTCAGGGGGCCCGGGGCGCCGTAAACGGGGGTACAGTAAACGGGGGTATATGGAAAAGCCTAGCTCCCGTTTGGCGAAACCCCCGTTTACGAAGCCCCGATGCTGTGCGCACAGGGGGGTGGCGCGAGGGGTCCGGCTCTCGTGAAGGCGCGGAGCTTCCCATGTAGAAGGCAGGGGCCCGCTCGGAGGGGGGCCCAGGGCCTGTCAGCAGGCTCCTCGGAGGCCCCTGGCCCCGTCCTTCTTGGGCCCCCCCCCCGCCTTCTTGGAAGGCCGCCTCCATGGCGCCACCCCCGTGGTGCGCGCCGCCGGCCAAGACGCCCGCGCGGACCTCCCGAGGTTCGTGCTGTGGCAGCTCTCTGTTCTTCTTCATACGAAGAGCGGGCGATGGCGGCCAGCTTCTCTCCCGCCTTGAGCGCTCAAGCTGAAGGTCCAGTTTTCGAGCGTCACGTGAGCGCCTCAGCTGGAGGGCCGTCTGTTGAGAAGATTCTGAGCAGCGAGGCGAGCCTGGCCTTCGTTCGCAACGTCTCGGCCGCCTCGAGCTACTCCTCCCAGCGTGGGAGCGCGCCGCCTGCAGCACGCGAGCGAGATCGCGAGCTCTCTCAAGTGCTCGAGGATCAGTCGGCCCTTTCTAGGGAGTCCCACCAGACGGGTGCGTCAGGGGCGAGCCGAGGGGTGAACGGCATGAGGGGCAGGCGCATGCCGTCGGGTACGTGGGATGCGGAGCTCGTGATGACGATGACGCAGCAGCAGTTCGAGATGCGGAGGTCGCGAGGTGCCGTCGTCAGGGGCGCCCTGAACCCGGAATGGAGCCGGGCGGCGCACAGAATGGGGGGGGGTGGCGCGAGGGTGGCGTCCGTCTTAGACAGCCTGGGGCCTCTTGGAAGTCATATCAGATTCCAAGGCGCCTTCCAAACAGTTTCGGGCGGACGGGCAGCGGGGGGGTTAAGTGAGCCAGGGGTGGAGAGCGGTGCAGCCCTTCTGGCACCACTTGGGGCCGCGGTGGCAGTTTGGGGCCCCGCCAGGGCCACGTTCCTGGAGCCCTCGATCGCCCTCCCCCGTGAATGTCCACCCGAGGCCTTGTGGGCACCCCTCGATCGCCCTCCGGTGAACGTCCACCCGAAAGGCCCACCCCCTCTGAGCATCCGCAGAACGCATCTGCACAACGCCATCGTGCAGGGCACTGGCCCCAGGCACGGTGGTGGTGTGTAGATGCCCTCCGCGTGTTCCGAGAAGCACCCTGCGTTCTCGGAAGGCCGCCCCTCGATGCGATGTCGATCCGACTCGAAGCCGAGGTCATTCAGCTCGATCCGATCTTAGCGAGGTCGACCCGGCATCGATCTACTGACGATCCGATGCGCCCCGATGCTTGCACTGCGTGGTCGTGCCTGGGCGCAGGCGATTCGATCTGATTCGATTCCGACCTCCGTGCCGGTGCGGCCGGAGTCCTACGCACATTTCGATCCGATCCGATCTCCCGCTTCGACGCGGACTGATCCTGCCCTCCCCCCCGAGCGCTCCCGTCCCGAGGAGCGGAAGGCTGACGTGGGACCTCTGCGTTCTCGTCTTGGTCGTGTGCGACAGCGTGGTGCTTCCATTCCAGCTTGCCGAGTTCCATCCGTCACCCGTGTTCGACGCCTCGTGGCTCTGGTGCTCGGGCACGTCAGTTTTTGAGCCTGCGGGGGCCTCGGGACCTTCAGAGGACGACTTGGGACGAGAAGCTGGCTCCGAGGAAGGGGTCAAGAGATCGGGGGGGCGCACGCAGCGACAAGCATCGGAGCGCCGGACGCCTGACTCTCCCCAGCGGGCGGCGCCGTTCCCCCCTCCACGGGCGACGCCAGGTCCCCTTGGGGCCGGTCAGGTTGGGGCTTACAACCCTCCTCGAAATGAAACGCAAGTTTTCATCCAATCTCTTCGCCCCCGAATTTCAACGGTGATGGATGCGCGCAGCGCGTCCCGCGGGGTCAAAACATTGTAATCGCCAGTTTCGGTGTCGACATTGAAATTGGGGGTCCGGGGGCGTCGCCACGTCGTGGGAAAGACTTACGTTTGATGTCGAGGAGGGATGTATCGGGCGGGGCTAGGACGAAGACAAGTTCGTTCCAGAGCGTTCTGGAACGCTCTCTGAGCGTTCCGGAACGCTCAGAGAAGGCCATTGCGCCTGAGAACTCCTCCAGAGTCGCCAGATCTCAGATTTTCGATTTATCCTCACCTGATTTGATCCTCGTCCTGGCTTCGTCTTAATTGTATCCTCACCTGATTTTGTCCTCCTGATTTTGTCCTCACCTGATTTTATCCTCGTCCAGGCTCCATCCGCTGGGCCTCCACCCAGCCTGTGCTTTGCCCGCTCTCGGGCGGCGCCAAGGCCAGTTGGAAGAAGACCAGTTGGAGCCAAGGGGGGACTTCCTCCAGTTGGCCTCTAGCTGGACTTCGCCTCTCGAAAGGTGCACGTCGCTGTTCTTCCTGTGCGACCTCGTGATGAATTTCTTTACTGCCTATCCAGCCGGGAAGAAGGAGGCGCACCTGCGAGAGGGCGAGCTCGTTTCGGATAAGGTACTGATCGCACTGCACTACCTGCGTGGCTGGTTTTGGGTCGATTTCCTGAGCACTGTGCCGTGGACCATGATTACCGATACCGTGAGCGGTGCAGGTTCGGAGGGCTCCAGGTCGTCGGCGAGCAACGTCACGAAGCTTGCGAAGGTGGTCAAGCTGACGCGGCTCCTGCGGCTCATGAGGATGCTGCGCCTCTGCAAGCTGTCGGTCATCTGGGGGCGGCTCGAGGTCCGCATCGGGTCCATCACGTTCCTGAACGTGATAAGCCTTTTCCGGCCGCCTGCGGCAGCTCCCGCCACCAGGCTCCTCCCCTCCTCCTCCTCCTCCTCCTCCTCCTCCTCCTCCTCCTCCTCTCCTCCTCCTCCTCCTCCTCCTCCTCCTCCTCCTCCTCCTCCTCCTCCTCCTCCTCCTCCTCCTCCTCCTCCCCCTTCTCCTCCTCCTCCTCCCTCCTCCTTCTCCTCCTCCTCCTTCCTCCTCCCTCCTCCTCCTCCTCCTCCTCCTCCTCCTCCTCCTCCTCCTCCTCCTCCTCCTCCTCCTCCTCCTCCTCCTCCTCCTCCTCCAGCGCAGAAGCGCCGCAGGCAGGAGGCCGAGCTGAAGGCCCGCTCCGGCTCGGTGCCCGGATTGCTCTGGCGCGGGTCTTCTCTTTGGCCCTCTCCACACTGCTTTCTTGTCTTCCTGCGGCGTACAGGGCGCGCTTCTTGGCGGCTTCGGAGGGCCTCTCGGGGGCCCTCTCGGGGGCCTCTCGGGTGCCCGTCGAGGGTGTTGGGGCCGCCCTTGGGCGCGACGGTTCCACGGCGCTCTCCTCCGAAGAGGCTCGACGGAGCCATCTCTGGGAAGATTCCGGCCAGGTACCGGAGCAGTGTCGGAACCTTCCTGGGCTCGTGGTGCTTCTGGGTGATCTCTGAGGCCTTCCGAGGCTGTCTGATTCCGGAAAGCTGCGGAAGCAACACGCATAGATGTTCGTTAGGTTGTTCAGCGTTTTCCGCTTATGAGGGCCTCGCTGGACATCTTTGGGCGTGTTGGGGAGGTCTTGGAGCTTGTGAGATCTTGCTGGGCCGTCTCTGTATTGTCTCGCGGTGACTTGCAATAACTCTGGGGAGGTTTGTGACTTTCTTGGAGCCGTCTTGAAACCAGAAAGTGCGCTTTTAGGGGCTGTCTTGTGGCTGTCCTGGGGCTGTCTCAGAGCTGCCCTGGGCTGGCTTGGGAGGTTCTCCTCGCTCTCTGAAGCCTTCCCGAGGCGATCTACAGAAGGAAAGCCTCGTAAGCAAAGACCATGCAGTTCCTTCAAAACATCAACAAACTTTTATTCTCTAAGAGCCTCGCTGCATGCCTCTTTGGCGTCTCCTGAGTGCTTCTTGGGGCTTTTTGGAGTATGTTGAGATGATCTTGAAGCTTGTGAGAGCTCATTGGTCACTAGGCTGTCTTTGGATGGTTGTCCAGCGTCTTGCAGCCGTTTCAGGGTGTTGTTGGGTTGTCTAGCAGATACAGGTCGCTCTTTGGGACAACTTGGACCGTCTTGGGTGCTTCTGGATACTCTCTGATGCCTTTCGTGGCAATTTGCAGCCGAGAAGCCTCGGAAGCAAAAGCAAGAGTTTTCCTCTTTGCCTGTGATGGCCTCGTTGGAGGCCACTTCGGGTGTCTCCTGGAGGCTTCTTGGGGCCTCTTGGGGGTATGGGGCCTTGTTGGCGAGATCTCGTAGCCTTTGCGACCTCGAAGGGCCGTCTTTTCGATGATCTTGGGGCGTCTTGAAGCCATTCTGGGACGGTCTTTTTGGCTCCCTTGGAGCCGTCTGGAAGCCGAAGATGGCACTATAGAGCAACATCAGGGGGGATATTCTTGAGGTGAGTTGCGGGTAGTGCGACCAAACGATTAAGAAAAGCCGGCGGGGGGGGGCGCAGCGCCCCACTGGGAATGGAAGATGAAGCAGATAATCTCGGTTTGTCGTTTTCGTCATCGTCGTCGCCGTAGAGGCCTCGTCCCTACCCAATTTGTTTCGTCTTTCCTGTTGTTAGAGGGGGCGGCTCTAGAAAACGGAAACCTGCCAGACAGCAGACCACGAATTCTGGTACGCCCCAGCTGTCCCCAGCTCACACGTGCCGCCAGCGCGGGGGCGGATAAAAGTGCTCGGTGCGTGGTCCGCCATCTGCCACTGGGGTGCCTGCATTTGGTGGATGTTCGGCAAGAGGGATAGTCTGGTGACGGCATTTACGATGAAGGACAGCACCGATGCCGTCCACTGGACGGAGCTGCCGCGAAAGCACACCGCGTACGACGACGCAGGGGAGTGGACGTGGGCGGACAAGTCTGTGGCAGAGCAGTACGTCTTCTGCTTCTACTGGATCCTAGGGGTGATGCGCACCATGCCCGCCGAGGTCACTCCCGTCAACCTGACGGAGAGGGTGTTTGTCTTGCTCTTCATGTTCTTTGCCGTCGGTGCGTTCGCCGTCAACATCGCCCGCATTACACAGGCCTGGTTCAGGTTCAGTGCGCGTAATGACGCGTTCAAGGAGGAGATGGCGTACGTCCGCATGCACTTGAGAGCGGCCAAGTGCGGAGACGCGCTGCAGTTGCGCACGCAGTCCTATTTGCAGCACCTCTTCGAGAAGAGGAAGATCCACGCCAAGGAGCTGAGCCTGCTGAACGTACTGCCCGAGGCGCTGAAACGCAAGCTAGGCCGAGCCCAGGTCATTCACCACCTGAGGAAGATCCCGCAGCTCGAGGACTGGGACGACTCGGTCCTGGCGATGGTCTGCGACGCCACCGAGGTCGTGGACTACCTGCCGGGGGACAAACTCACCGAGAAGAGCAGGGACGCCGAGGCCGCCTTTGTGCTCACGCGGGGCGGTCTCCAGGTCTTCGGGGCGGATCCCCCGGGGCGCTCCAGGAGGCTCTTCTCGAGCTCGCAGGTGGGCACCTCTGGCCGGCCCGGCAGGCCCCGCAGGTCTGCGGCAGACGGGTCCGGCCGCCTGACCGTCGTGGACGACCAGTGCCTCTTCATGAGCCAGGCGACGCCGTCCAGGCACACCGTGGTGGCGCTGGAGTGCTCTGAGGTGCTGAGGATTGATCGGCAGAAGTTCATGAGCCTGATCCCCGAGCGGGACCGCGTGGCTTGCGCGGACTCGGGCGACAGCTGGCGCCTGTCCTCCTCGCTGTACTCCTCGCTGGTGGGCCAGTCGCCCATGCAGGAGCTCTGGCGCGGGGGCAGACGACCGACGATTTCAGTGGGTCCTGGGAACAATGGGGCTGTGTTTTTTCCAGTCCCCTTTTATTGTCCTTACGGTGTCGTTGCCGTTTTTTTCCGGACCCGTCGCCAGTTATTCTTGTGGCTCTGGCTCCGACTCTGATTCCAACGCAGTGATTTCTTTGTTTCAGTTTTCGTTTTTGTTCTTTCGATTCGGGGACCAGGTTTCTGGTTGGAAGTGTTATCATTTTCATCTTCAAGAGCTAGATTTTCTGGGAGATCAAGACCGTTTCTGCCGTTCCCAGGGCCCACTAAGTCGACGACCGACGAGAGAGACCGACGACGACGGCTTGCTGCCTAGGTTTTTGCGTGTCTTTTTGGTTTCTGGGGGTTTTCTCGCCTCGGGATGCATGCCAGCAGCTGCGCCTCCGCGAGAACGTTCGGTGGCTGCCCGATTCGTTCCGAACGGCCGCCAGAGTTGGCCCGAAAGCCAGCTCTCCAATGGATTGCAACAGTGAGTGCGGAGGCTTTTTGCCGTTTTCGGCCTCCGGGGGGGCGCCTCGCCGGCCCCTGGAACCGCTAAAAATGGTTTGGATGTAAAGCTGATCCGTGACGGATTTCCAGGGTGCATCGGACCTGCGGTCTTCGTTCTCCTTCTGCCCTGTGGTACTTCGCCCTCCGCGGCCTGTCGGGGCCGTTCCGGGGCCCCAGGGAAGTCGAAAACGCCTCCTCCTCCCTACCCTCCTCCTTCCTACTGCCTTCTCCCTCCTCCCTTGTATCTTTCCCTCCTCCCTCCTCCCTCCTCCTCCCTCCTTCGCCTCCTCCTTCTTCCTCCTGCTTCGTTCCCCTCCTCCTCCTTCTCCTCTTCCTCCTCGTCCTGTGTCTCCGCCTCCTCTTCTCACATCTCCTCTCCTCTCCTCCTCCCCTCCTCCTCCTCCTCCTCCTCCTTCTCCTTCTCCTTCTCCCTCTCCTCCTCCTCCTCCAGGTGGCTCAGGTATGGCGCTAGCACAAGCGCCAGTCTCGAAGCAGTCACTGAGGGGCAGACTCTCCTCGCTGATGCAGCGAGCCCGGTGGCGGCCAGCGCCCTGCGGCGACGGCAGGTCTGATACGAGTTGTGAATTCAACCCACAGGTCGCCAACACTTCTGCTCGATTGAATGACTTAGTGCTAGAACTGGGGAGCAAGGATTTCATATCGCTGACAGGGCACACAGTTGAAGGCCAGGGGTGCGCCGTGGGAAGACACCCGCAATATTGGGGCGTACTGGAGCATTTCATGCGGGTGGTCTTGGGGGGCCATGACGACGAGGGCGTGCGGAGTGACGTTGCTAGTGCGCAGGAAAACGTTTTCCACGAACTCGCTCAAGCGCGTCCTTCCTGTCCCCCAGAGTCTCTGGGGTTGGTGCTTCGGCGTCCTTCTCAAGGGGAATGGGATCAACTTCGGGATCGTTGCCATCTATCGTCCTCCGAGGGAAACCATGCGAGCCGCCATATCAACATATGAACGAATGCTCGACTCTCTCAACAACTGGTTGGGCGAGGCGATGGGTTGCCCAAGATTTGTAGCGGCATCAGCGGGGGCTCCCCGCATCGACGCGTCGACGGAGTGGCAGGTAGGTACCGGCATGGCAAGGTCACGCCCAGTTTCGCGAGGCTACGTCCCATGCTGCACGGGTGGGAGATGACGAGCATCAACAGTCACTTCGATTGCGCGCCGGCCTTGGTCTCGCATTCAGGCAGCGAAGGCCACATCGATCACGTGTTCTTGCCGCGCGAGTTGCCGCGTGCCGCCGAATATTTTCGAATTCTTTCCACTTCCGCTCGCCGCCTGCAGCTGGGAGCTAACGGCGAGGATCGAGATCGCCGCCCAGTCTGCGCCAGTTTCGTCGCACGCATGACCGAGGCGCCCATGCCGCTGAGGAGCCCTCGACCGAATCGCGAGGCTCTTTGCCAGTGCGTGCAGACAGGGCACGAGAGGAAGGAGGTTTTCGAGGAGAGGGAGAAGCTTGCCCAGGAGACCGCCCCCCCAAAACAAAATTCAACGAGGATCGCGAGGCCGCAGACATTGACAACATTGACAATATTAATGAGACCTTCCTCGGGGTCTTGAATGATGCTGCCGCCTCGGTTCTCAAAGAGCCCCCCGCCCAGTCCTGTGAGTCGCATCGTGAGCACCTCAGTGAGCTGAAGGAGTTACATCAGGAGCGCAGAGACCTCAAGCAGCAGCGCAGTAGCGACAGCAGCAACGAGCAGATCAACAGGAGTACCGAGGAGCTGGGCAAGCAAGTCAGGAGAAGGAGCCAGGGGCACTGGAGGGCGATTCAGGGGGGGGGGGGCGAGGGGATCAGGGGCGCAGCAGCAGAGCAGAACAACTAATTAGCACAGGAGCTCGCTCGGCTCTTTGCGCGCAGAAAACGAGGCCCGGGGCGGCGAAGGTTCGCCGCCGTCCCGGGCTCAGCGGCCTCGGCGGCGAGCTGGGCGCTCCAGAGTCTCGTGAAGCACAAAACCGATAATGCACGCTTCCTGTCGGTCGTTTTCGGTGGGACTCGTTTCGACGACCCGATCTTCGCCCCGGAAGGTCGAGTCGCCCCGGCGCGGCCAATCCGCGGGCCGACTTGTGTCGAGCAGATCTTGACAGGCACCGGGTCTTCGAGGTTGGAGCTTCATTTTGCGCGTGGCAGTCGCCTTTCGGTGTGCTCTCTGAAGAGGCCGCCGACTTTCTGCAGCCTTGACGTCGATGAGCTCCGAGCCCGCTTCTATGTGCTGAGCGGAGGAGCCAATGCGCTCGCCTCGAGCATTGAAGGCGGACAGCACATGTGCGAGGGGCCGTTGGGTGACGGGGGTGTTTGTAGCGCCCGCTGGCCAGCGACAATTCAGTGGCACGCTCGTATCGCGTCTGTGGTTGGAGGGGCTCGCGGATGGGCCCGCATAGGTGAAGTCGCCACGAACACTGACTGATGCTTCTTCTGCGAGGGTGCTGTTCGTGATCGAGATGTCGCTCGTCGACGCGTCGTCGCTAGTATTGGCAATCAGTGCCGTCCTAAGTCGCTCGCGAGATTAACTGCCCCCCCGGGCCGACCCGAGGTTGGAGTGCGTCGTTTGGCTTGAAGGATGTGAATCTGCGGCCGAATATTTCAAGATTTCAAGCGCGCCCGTGAGCGCATCTGGCCGTTCCTGCTTCCATCTTCTCATGTTCGGGGGATCGACGGCGTGGCTGGCCGAACCCCTCGACGAGACCTCGTGGCAAGAGCTCCGCAGAGGGAGGCAACGGGGACAAGAGGCCTCGCGCCGAGGCAGAGTGCGAGGCAGACGAGAACATGGGCGAGACTATGGAGGCCACGCAGGCCCCGTCGGCGCATCTCGGGGCGCGCGTGGGGGCGTTGGAGAGCGAATGCCTGACAGAGGTGCTCATGCGCGAGTAGAGCGAGGTTGCATGCGCCATGGCGACGCCAATCCAAGCGTACCTGCAGCTGGGAAAAGACCAGCCAGAGCAGGGCATCGGGCCCCCGGGGTCCCACGTGCTCTCAGGGTTCCCCGACGCTATCTTGAGTTGCGAGCGCCGGGATTATTCGGCGAGGTTCTTGATGATAAAGGCAGGTATCGTGCGACTCCACGCTATGTTAGGCAAATCAGGGCCGGCAGCGACAGCGCGATGGGTGCGCGAGATGGCGATTTTCCACTTTCCAGAAGCCTGGCATGGGCGCCAAGGTGCGCAATGTGGTCAGCTTCCAAGGCGAACTCGCGCTGCCGCGCCAGACGGAGCATCGCGACGAGCTGATGAGATTTTTGGAGGAAGGCGAGAATAACGCCCTGTGCCAGGCGTCGCCAGTCGAGACGCCGACGGGGCACTTCCAGATGGCAGGCCTGTGCGTGCCAGTGGAGACCGCGATCGGAGAGGCCCGCGACGGGCCCTGAGACGTGGCGGGTCATGGATTCGACGTCGCCGCGCACTTCTTTTTTCTACGCCCATATTGTCTGCCACTGGATGTGGTATATCTGAGATATTGTTGGCCTTGGGATACTTCTGTTCGGCGACGCGACGGGCCCTGAGCTGTGACGAGTCATGGATGGGCAGGTGGGGGCGCCGCTGCTTCCCGCGCCGCTCGCAGTAATTACCTGAGTCCAGAGCTGCGGTGGGCGGAGGGGTGGTGGTGGTGGTGGTGGTTGGGTGGTGGGGGTGGGTGGGGGGGGGTGGGGGGTGGGGGGTGGGGGGCTCTCGTCGGCGTAAGCTCTAGTGGGCGATTTTTGGGCATTGTTTTTGTTCAAAGATCTGGTTAGTTGTGGTTGTGAGATGCACGGGCGTGGCTGCGTGGCGGTCCCTGAGATGCGCACCTTGGTGGATGGTCGCGGTGGGGGTCTGTTGGGCACGACGTATGTAAATGGCCGTTCTCCTATGGATAGAGGGTTGCGCCATACCGAGGGGAAGGATTGACATTCGAGAGCCGCTGATGACGTCGGAGGAGCTGAGCACATCTGAGCGGGCTTGGGTTGAGTAGCGGCGGCCGTCCCTTGCCGCTGCCAAGCGCACGGCACGTTTCGTGTTGAGTTCGTGCGTGGTTGTCGCCAAGTGCTGCGGACTAAACGAGAGCGGAGGTTTAGCGCTCGAAACACCATCCCCGCCCATGTTATATCGGAGAAGATCGGCGTGCAACGCGGGTTGAGCTGCTTGAGTGGGCAGTGAGTGCGAGAGAGAGAGGGAGGGAGAGAGAGAGAGGGAGAGAGAGAGATAGAGAGAGAGAGGGATAGAGAGGGAAAGAGAGAAAGAGAGAGAGAGAGAGAGATATAGAAAGAGAAAGAGAGAGAGAGAGAGAGAGAGAGAGAGAACGCGAGAGAGAGAGAGAGAGATAGGGAGAGAGAGAGAGAGAGAGAGATAACAAGAGAGAGAGAAAGAGAGAGAGAGAGAGAGACAGAGAGAGAGAGAGAGAAAACGATAGAGAGAGAGAGAGAGAGGGAACGACTCCTCCTCCTCCTATTCCTCGTCCTCCTCCTCCTCCTCCTCGTCCTC